GGGGGGGGGGGGGCTCTTGCTCTGAGGGCGAGCGGGGTGCACAGCAGCCCTGCCCCAGGTGCCTGTGTGACTAGCCACACTGCGGCCCAGCGCTCAGAGTCAGAGCGCAGCCCGGGGGAGGGGGAGGGGGGAGGGGGCAGGAGGGGGAGGAGAAGTGGGGGTGGGGGTGAGGGGGTGAGGGGGTGAGGGGAGGGGAAATGGGGTTGGGGGGGAGGGGGCCGGGGGTTGGCCTTCTCAACAAGGCCAGGCTGGGGCCCCAGGTGGCCCGCCTCTGCCAGCAACCTGCCGCTTTGTAGCTGAAGTAGAGGCTGGGACTTGTCATTTCCTTACATTCACACGCATGCTGCAGAAGGGTGAACATTCTGGTACGGATGCTCTTTTCACAGCCTCTGACTGATCCCGGATCCCCCCACCCCGGTGCCCCTGCATTCCGGCTGCACCTGAAGGTACTGATACTGCTCGGGGGTAAGATATAGTACAGGGCGCCCTCCGTGCGCATGGGTCCTTGGGCACACAGACAAGTATAGAAGTGGGAACAGTTTCTAGAAGTGGGATTTCTGGACCAAAGGCTTCTGTGATTTTGACAGACACTGCTGGGTTGTCTTTCATAAAGGTTGTGTTGATTTACTCAAAAACCTTGGGAAGAGAGAGAACCTGTCCCTCACACCTTTGAAAATGGTGTTACCAGGCTGTTCAGTCGTAGCCAACCTCATAGAAGAAGAAGAGAATCTCACTGAAGTTTTGATATCTCTTATTCTAAGAGTTCACATAATTTCCCCAGTTGTTGATATTTCCTTTCCTTAAACTGTCACTCACATTCTGGGGGCGCCTGGGTGGCTCAGTCATTTGAGCGTCTGACTTTGGCTCAGGTCGTGATCTCATGGCTCGTGAGTTCAAGCCCCACATCAGGCTGGCTGTTGTCAGTGCAGAGCTCGATTTCAGATCCTCTGTCTCCTTCTCTCTCTGCCCCCTCCTAATGTACTTCATTCTCTCTCAAAAATAAAAATAAGCATTTAAAAAACCTGTCACAGGGGCGCCTGGGTGGCTCAGTTGGTTGAGTGTCCAACTTCAGCTCAGGTCATATGTCGTGGCTCGTGGATTCGAGCCCTGCATCGGGCTCTGTGCTGACAGCTCAGAGTCTGGAGCCTGCTTTGGAGTCGGTGTCTCCCTCTCTCTCTGCTCCTCCCCTACTTGCACTGTCTTTCTCTCTCTCTCAAAAAAAAAATTAAAAAAACCTCTTATATTCTTTGCTTTTTTTTCTATTATCTTTCTTCTCGATAACTTCTAAGAACTTTAGATACATATATATGTATATTGAAAATAATTTTTCTTTCAAAAATTAGTTTCTTTCAAAGATAAAGTTAGTTGTCTTTCTTATGGGAATTTTTCTCTGTAGAATGTTTTCACTTTTACTTGGCATTTTCCTATGGCTTTAGATTTTTGCATCTTACTCAAGAAAGGTCATCTCATCCTGAAATGAGCATTAAAGAATCTCCAACATGTTCTTTTTTCTTGATGTATCTGGAAGTTACTAAGCTGTGAAATGTGAGATAGAAATGCTTTTTCAATGGGTTGCCTCAGTCAGTGAAGTGTCCGACTCATGCTCAGGTCATGATCTCACATTTTGTGGGGTTGAGCCCCGTGTCGGGCTCTGTGTTGACAGCTCAGAGCCTGGAGCCTGCTTCGGATTCTGTCTCCTCTCTCACTGCCCCTCCCCCACTCTCACTCTGTTTCTCTCTCTCAAAAATAAAATGAATATTTTAAAAAAGAAAAAGAAATGCTTTTCCTTTTCTTCCTTGTAGGTGGCTGTCTAGTTGTCCTAATGTCATCTATTGCCGAAACTGTATTTTCTACAGACCTATCATACATTCTGTTCTTCTGTGCTCGTAGGTCTATTTCTGGAGTCTGTTTTATATCTCTGACAGGAGCAGATGCCAACTCCCTGCCGCTTTATTTCCTGTCTTGACAGATGTTTTACTAACTGGTAGAACTAATCTCACTTTATTACCCTTCTTCATCAATATATCTTCTGGCTGTTCTCATATACTTGGTTTTCCATAAAGACTTCAAAATAAGCTTGTTTCGAAAGAGAAATCAAGAAATTGATCCCATTCACAATTGCACAAAAAACCATAAAATACCTAGGAATAAACCTAACCAAGGATACAAGAGATCTGTATGATGAAAACTATAGAAAACTTATGAAGGAAATTGAAGAAGACACAAAGAAATGGAAAAACATTCCATGCTCATGGATAGGAAGAATAAATATAGTTAAGATGTCATTACTACC